ACAAATTCCTCATATTCCTCCTCCTTCAAATGCAACAGATCTCACAAGTTTGTTAGCATCTTTCCTCACCGATTTCAAATCCCTTGTTACTCCACTCATATCACTCCTCACGAATCTCGTATCTCACCTCATCCCTCCTTTGAAAAATCCTTAAATGACTCACATCCCTAAACCCATATCCATTCTCCTTTGGAATGCGAATGGTGTTAGAAATCATACAGACGAACTATCTACTTTACTACTTGACAAGAACATTGATGTGGCACTAATTACTGAAACTCGACTAACCACTAAACAGCACTTCAATATACCACAATACCTGACATATCGTACTGACCACCCTGACGGAAAAGCACATGCCGGTACTGCTGTAATTGTACACCAATCCCTCTCCCATCACGTACTCCCATTACCAATACATGATTTCCTACAGTCCACCGCTATCGTGATAAAAACCTTCTCCTTTCCGGTCACTCTTGCATCAGCGTATTGCCCTCCTAACCGATCCATATCCAATGCCCAATTCAGTTCTCTCCTCGACTCCTTAGGACATCACTTCATCTTGGGTGCAGACCTAAATGCCAAGCACCAACAATGGGGTTCCAGAACCACGAATTCTCGTGGCCGAACCCTGCTGTCTGCACTCAATTCCCAACGTTTTCACCTCCTTTCCCCCAACTCTCCTACCTACTGGCCCACAGATCCCAACCGTAATCCTGATCTTCTTGATTTCTTTATCCACAGCGGCTTAAGTCCCCTCAATTGTTCCATTACACGTCTAAATGAACTTTCCTCTGACCATAGTCCTCTAATCCTTAATGTTTCACTTGAACCTGTTCCCAAACCTTCTCCACCGTCATTCATTAGGGGCCCAGTAAACTGGGACCTTTTCCGCCAAATAATCTCCGATAATATTGATCTCAACATATCCCTCAAAACTCCCGATGACCTTGATAGTGCCGTAAATTCCTTTACTACCACAATCCAACAAGCCGCCTGGACTGCCTCCTTTCCAAAAGACTCCTCCAGAATTCCTATAAAGACCATTCTACCCCAACACCTCCTTAACCTAATCCGCACCAAACGCCGTGCCAGATTATTATGGCAACGTACCCGACATCCTACCGACCGCTGCTCCTATAATTACTACTGCAAACAATTAAAACTGGAATTAGCCACCTTCAGATCACAATCCTTCAACTCCTACCTATCCTCCCTCTCTTCTCGCGACAATTCCCTTTGGAAAACCACAACAAAAATCCTAAATCCTCACCGCATTTCCCATCCTCTCCGACGAGGTGATGGCTCCTGGGCAGCATCTGACGAAGATAAAGCTGAGGAGTTCGCCATTCACCTATCCAATGCATTTATTTCACATCCGGAATCCCATCCTGCCCACAACGTAACAGTAGAAGAACTTCTTACATCACCAATCCCACTTCCTTGCCCCCAAAAGCTATTCATCCTTCCTAAGTGAAATTTCAATTAAAAAAACTAATCCCCCTTATACCGACTACTAAACAGAAAATCCAAACTTTCCATTGAAAACAAGCTACTGATCTACAAGACAATACTGAAACCTATTTGGACTTCCGGACTAGAACTGTGGGGATCAGCAAAATTTTCTAACATCAAGCGCATCCAATCCTTCCAGTCAAAATTCCTTCAAACAATAGTCGATGCTTCTTTCTATGTAACCAACAAAACCTTACATCATGACCTCAACATCCCATTTGTCCTAGACCTTATCCCAGAAAAATTCTCCAAATTTCAACAGAACCTTACGTACCACCCAAATCCTCTTGCACAATCCCTATCAAGCACCTCCCATCCCTATAATCCTCCAAGAAGATTGAAACGGCAGTGGCCTCGCGACCTTTTGTAGAATGTATAAATTGGAGTTCTGGCAATGGCCAGATTCTTCACTCAAGACATGAGTGTATGTGGCTTAAGTGCTCTCGACCAATCTCCACTGGCTTTATTATCAGTGACGCGGTTGGAGAGTAGCGCAGGGTTCTCCTGGAGTTCCCTCGCCTGATTGTATATAGGTATGCATGTGTTTTTTTTTTTTCTTAGTTTTAATTTTCTTATTTTTTAAGTTATTTTATCTTATCATCTATGTATATACTTTTGATTATTATTTTGCTCTATTTATTTTATTTTTTTGTACATATAGTGTGAATGTCATCCTACCTCACTATAACTAATGTCCAAGAGACAGATTGTTATAATATTCAATAAAGAAATAAAAAAAAAAAAACTTTATGATTAACATGATTCTATTCCATGTGAACGTGGATGGATTCGGAAATGAGTCTTTTTTCATGGTTAGGGACCGTGGCAAAAAAAGAGGTTTTTTTCTAAATCAAATGAATTGTAGAGGATTAAGGCATGTTCTGATAGTTTGGAGGCCGAAGGGTTCCGAGAAGTTATGGATGTTTTATGTGAGGAAAATCGGGTTTTGAGATGATTTTTTGTTTCGCCAATATAGGAGCTATAACAATTAGGAGTGGAGCAAGGTATCCGGTAAACTACATTAGGTCGGTGTTGTAAAAGTATGAGATCCTTCAACTTTTACAACGTAAACCCAGAAAGTTTGTTATGGGACTTAAGGCCAAGGCGTTAGTTGGTTATAGTCGATTTTGGGAATTTTTGTATATTATCTGAGAGAATAGGAATATAGGAGAGAGATTTGTATATGCAAGGAGTGGTAGGTGATTTTGGGGGTTGAGAGAAGGGAAAGTTGTACTCTTTTTGGTTGTATAGAAGTTTAGAAGTTTAAGTACAGTGTTGAGAGAGAAATTATTGGAATGAAGTACATTTTTGACAAGCTGCGTGTTGGCATATTGATATTGTGGTTCAGATAAAGAGAGAGATCGGTGAATAATGTTTTTGGCGGTATTGGAATATAAGGAAATGATGGTTATGAAGACGTAGTAGGCGAGTGATCAAATGAAGAGAAGCTAATGAAGAGGAGAAAGAATTATCCCTCATTCAGATCAGTAATATGATTTCTAACCACCTCCAACACTCTCCATCCCGTTCTTCCACTTTATCCTCTGAGTTTTTTAAAGATTTATCCTTGACCCGCTCTTTCCTGAAAACATACGACCACCTCATTATTACTAAGGCTGACAAGGGAAATTCGACCGTTATTATGGACAAGACAGAATACACACATAAAATAATCCAACTACTTTCAGACCAAACAACTTACGCACCCTCCCGCCGTGACCCAACCCGTACACTAATGCTAAAATTTAACCGCCACATTAAAAACTTACTAGAGACTAAACAAATTAACCGTCCCACTTATTACAACCTTATATCCTACAACTCCTTAGCACCCCGCTTATATGGACTCCCAAAAATTCACAAACCTGGAAATCCCCTCCGCCCTATCATCTCCAATATTAACACCCCCTCAGCTAAACTCAGCAAATTTCTTTTACACTCTCTCCAAAAACTTAGTCACAATAATCCTTACGACATTCATAATTCATTCCATCTTAAAGAAGAGTTATCTTCGCTCCATATTCCTGATAACTTTATCCTGGTTTCCCTAGACGCCGAAAGGCTTTTTACCAATATCCAAATAGACAAAGCACTCCACATTATACAGAAAAAAATTACAATCATCGAACCTCACACCATTCTCAACCTCTCCTCATACCTTGAATTCCTTGTGCTTTGTTGCAGACTACTCAACTATATTTCTCAACATCCATATCACCAAAAGAACCAATACCGCCAAAACCTTATTCACCGATCTCTCTCTTTATCTGATCCACAATATTAACATGCCAACACGCAGCTTGATAAAAATGTACTCCTTTCCAATAATTTCTCTCTCAACACTGTACTTAAACTTTTAAACTGCTATACATCCAACAACCTCCCCTTCTCTCAATCCCCACAATCACCTACCACTCCTTTCATATACAAATCTCTCTCCTATATTCCTATTCTCTCAGATAATATACAAAAATTCCCAAAATCGACTATAACCAACTTACGCCTTGGCCTTAAGTCCCATAACAAATTTTCTGGGTTTACGTTGTAATTGTTGAAATATCTCATACTTTTACAACACCGACCTAATGTAGTTTACCGGATACCTTGCTCCACTCCTAATTGTTATAGCTAATATATTGGTGAAACCAAAAACCATCTCAAAACCAGCATTTCCCAACACAAAACATCCAAAATTTCCCGGAACCCTTCCGCCTCCAAACTATCAGAACAATTCTAGCTGAACACACCCGTAAGTCTCTATTTTTATTCTTCTAATTTTATAAACGTGTTTGTTTATTTTTGGTTTTCTTTTCTTTCTCCACATTCCTATATGTCTATTATTTCATATTATATCCTTTTTTTCAATATCTCCCGTAGACCTGTAGAAGTATATTCACATTTGCAGATTTATATATTACACTATAACAATTGTTACCATCTATTTACTTCAGTTTAGGATCTTGTTACTTAGCTTACTTTGTTTATATTTTAATGTACTTACTGTTTATAATTTTAATAAGCTTATTCATATCGTTTATAATACTTTTTTTTTCTAAATATTATGTAACTTCCACAATTCTTTATATTTTTTGTATATTGTCCGTTCTAGCCCTGAAGAAGACCTGCAAAGTCGGGTCGAAACGTTGGCTTTTAATAAAATAGTTGTGCCATTATTTAGCCCATTCATGACCGCCACCCCGGACCACATCCTTCCTTTGTATTTTTATATGTATAAATATATATATATCTTTACTGTTTGTGCAAAAGGTAATCGTGTAACAATTTTACACGTTTATTATTTTTGCGGTAAAGGTGATATATTTTTAAATGCGTTCAAGTGCTATAAATAGGAAAATAGCAGAGGAAAATGATGTATGAAATCACACCATTAATCATAAAGAAAGACATTCAATTTATACACACAACCTTTTGCACTTACATTAGCGATATGTTTTACAGTAATCCATTCTTTATCATGTTTATAGATGGATCCTTTAGCACGAAGCTGCTAGAAGCAAACATACAAATCTACAATGACAGGAAATGTAAAAGTCTAGTGTTGAATACGATTGACACTGAGCTAAATCATCGTCATGAAACAGATCAGATGTTTTGCGCTGGAATGCCAGACGGAAGCAAGGATGCCTGCCAAGTCAGTATCTTACAATCTGTAGTTAAAAAGAAAAAAATATATAATAAATAAACTATAAGAAATATGGTGAAATACTAAATAAGAATTATTTTAGGGAGATTCTGGAGGCCCATTGCTTTTCTATGATAATGTTCTGAAGATCAGAACTCAAATAGGGATAACATCCTTTGGTAAGGGATGCGGAAATCCAGACTCACCCGGGGTGTACACCAGGGTCTCGAATTACATATCCTGGATAAATAATGTGACTTCTGAAGTCTAGATATAGATTAATTAATATATCTTTATATTAAATTTTTACTATTGTTGTATGTATTATTTAGTTTTAAAAAAATGTGATTCGTACATGCATAATTTTTCATCTTGTAATTTAGATTCCTGGTTTATGTGTTAATAAATGTCTACTATGTATAAGAATGGATCTTTTATAAACCAAAAATATATATACTTTTGTTATATATTTTTTATATTCAGACTTGCTCCTGCACTAATTTCTTACATACCATCAGTTATTTCATTCCTTACAAGTGATTAAATTAATAGTGAATCAGTGAACCATGGTGATTTAAATCAGTGATATTTGATCACTTAACAATGTTCCTCAGTAATCACTTGTTCATCAAGTTTATTAAACAGTCCTAACAACAATAGATATAGCTGGATAGGTTATCTGACATATTGTTACCATATTGTTGTTATCCACATTCAGCCTGCAGTCAGTAGTTGGCTTACTGGTGAAGTAGGTGTACGTCACTCGGCCCTCCACCATTCTTCGTATTTTTTCTCTCAAATCTTCATAAATGCGATATTATCACATGATAATGTCGAGCAAAGTTACTAGCTCTCACAATTCTCCTGTAAAACAAAGGCCAAGGCGTTCCAATAGAAAAACACCACCATCAATACCTGATAGACCATTTGAAATATAAATGATTTGCAACCTGGTTGTTCGAACCAAACAACGGATAAATCTCCATTTTTTACCCACAGCCCATACCAGCTACTATCGTTAGAAGAAAGAATGGTAGCAGCACCAACTATCAGAGATCCAAAACCCCCTCCAATATCTGTCAGAAATTTAAAAAAAAAATCCATTATTCTGTCAGTACCTTGATAAAATAATTAAAAACTGTAAATATGTATGCATCAGTAGAACCAATAATAGAAATTAATACCGGATTCTCCGGAAGCATATAAAAAAATTGCCAAATACTAATCAGAGTCAAAGGCTGAATTTCACACGTACCGGATATACGAAGAGGGAGCACTAAGGCCAGCAGAGGGAGCGCGGGGCAGGCGCAGCACAGTGATAGCAGTTTTGTAATGAAGGAGGAACATAGCACCTAGTTCAGAGACGTCTTCATAAAATGAATCTAGCTATTAAGTGCCTCGTCCCGATATATCTGGACGCTAAGCTACTGTTACTTCAATTATATCAACGGCGCAACAGAGGACCCAGTTCAAAGCCGTCCCAGTCCCTATGACCTGTTTACAACACAGTTCCCTACGTCCTCTGTTCCTACCTTCGCTAGCTCGTGTTACGTTCCTCAAATATTCTGAAATGAAAAGTAGGGAAATAATTCAACCTCGGTTTTCTTTTTAGCTTATCTCCAAATAGTTAAAAAAATGGTTGAAACTTCTTTACTTGATTCACCTGTTGATGAAATGCATGACGAAAAATTAATGAAAAATACAAAAATTTGTATGATGATGGAGGTACGAAGGAGTGAAATTTCCGGACTAACTGATAGAATCGAATAAATTATACTTCCTGTGTTATGTAGTTTATTATAATTCGTCATCGATACAATAACAAATACGGATTGAAAAATAACTGATTATTCGAATGACTCTATAATAACAGCGAAAAAAATGCATTTAAAAGTCTGCAATAGCAGATACAATTGTTTTTAAAAAAAATCTATTTATTGAATAATAATACAATCAGCCACTGCTGGAGGGCTATTAGCATTAGGGCTAAAAGTTCTCATTCATACAATATATACAAATAATAAAGAAATAAATATAAGAAGTAAATAAATAATACTGATGAAGAAGGTAAATAAAAAGAAAAGAAAAAATAATAATAATAAACAAATAAAATAAAATAAAAACTTCTAAACACAATCATAACTATATACAATATATACATTCGCCCAAGAATCCCTGAACCAGGCTTTTTCTCCCACTCGTGGAAGGCAAAGCAAGACCCCGGAAGATCCCAGTGCCACTTTTACAGCCACATCACTAGTATTAGAAGCCAGTGGAGACTGAAAGAGGGCACTAGAGCCACAGACGCTCAGGACATGAGTGGAGAAGCTGGCCATTGCCAGGACTCCAAAGGCATATTTACAAAAGATCTCGAGGCCACTGCCGTTTCAACCTTCGAGGGGGATGGTATGGATGCTCGGAGCTGGATAGGGATTGAGCTAGAGGATTGGGATGATGAATGAGGTTCTGGTGAAAGTTGGGTGGTGGTCTGGGAATTGGTGATGTGGAGACCGTTAGGATTAGGGGACTATGGTCTGAGGAAAGATCATCAAGTCTTGAGATGCAATAATTAAGGGACCCTAGACCTTTGTGAATAAAAAAATCTAGGAGATCGGGATTGCGGTTAGGATCTGTTGGCCAGTATGTGGGAGAATTGGGTGAGAGGATGTTGCTGTGATGGGAATTAAGTGCAGATAGCAATGTTCGTCCTCGGGAATTTGTGGTTCTGGCTCCCCATTGCTGGTGTTTAGCATTTAAGTCTGCACCTAGAAGGAAGTGGTGTCCTAAGGAGTTAAGGAAGGAAGTTAATTGGGATTCTGAGATGGGTAGTATGCTGCGACTACTGCTATTGGGTAAAGGGAAGTTTGGATTATCACGGCAGTGGATTGTAGGAAATTATGCTTTAGCAAAGGAAATAGATGATGGAAAAGGGATTGATGGATAATTATGGCAGTGCCAGCATGTGCTGTTCCATCAGGATGGTCGGTTCGATAGATATGATAGTTGGGGATGTTAAGTGGTCGTTTGTTGGTAAGTCGAGTTTCAGTTATTAATGCTATATCAATGTTTTTGTCCTGTAATAAGATTGTTAGTTCGTTGACGTGATTTATAATACCATTCGCATTCCAAAGGAGAACGGAGAGGGATTTGATTGGGGACATTTAAGGATTTCTCGGCAGTGGGATGAGGTTGGATACAACATTGGTAAGTAAGGAAATGAGAGGAGTGATGAGTGACCTGACTTCAGAGAGGAAAGAAGTCAATAGGCTTTTGAGGTCAGTGGTATTGGGAGGAGGAGGAATGAATGTCTGGTTATTAGGCCTAGGTTCAGAGATGGGATAAGGGTCTTGAGGTTGAGATGTGAATACTCGAGGTTGAGGTTCTTGTGGCAGGGCCTGAGTTTGTGTGGGTGCAGTGTCTCCTTTGAATATCTGAGCATAGGAAACTCTTGTATTTACAGTTCTAGAGGGTTGTCTTGGTGGCCTGGATGGCCGTTCTTCTCTTGGAGCTGCATAGATTCTTGCTTTCAGTTCCTTATATGTTTGGCAACCCTTGTAGTTCGCTGGGTGTCCTTGATGGCATAAAGCGCATACTGCTTGTGTTCTTCTGGACTTCTGGCAGTCCTCTGTTTTATGTTGATCATCGCACCTGACACATCTAGGAATGTGGTGGCAATAGCGTTTCGTATGACCATAAGCCTGGTAGTTATCGCATTGTACAATGTCGCGCTTAGTGTAGGGCTTTTCTACAACAATGCTAGTGTAATAAAGGCGTGTGACCTTGTAGATTTCTTCGACCTGGGGCATTCGGTCAAGTTCAACGAAGAATAGTGGGAGTGGTATTTTATTTTTTGTACCAGGTTGTTCTCTATCTTCCTTGAATATATTCACTATTTGGCAAACACGGAACCCCATCTCAGTTAGTTCTTCTTTAATGGCATCCAGCGGTGTTGAAGGATGTAATCTCCTGATCACCACCCTGAGGGCTCTCTCTTGGCGCAGTTGATATGTGTGATAATCCGCCTTAGTGTCAGATAATTACTTGACAATTTTTCTGTACATATCTGGGGTGTCAGGCATTAATTTCGTGTCATTAGTGCGGCTTTGGCATAAGTATTTACCTGAGCCCACTATATTATTTAATTGTAGACACATAAATTGAAAATTTTTTATATTTCTAACGAATATTGGTGGGGGTTTAGGTTCACTAGGGATGGGTACTGCTTCCATTTGTTCATTCTGTGTGTTTGACAGCACTTGGAATGGATTAGCTGTAAAAAAAGGCGATTCTTCTAACGTACCTTGTATTGGTATAACCTGTGTTGACATATTTTGAGATGATGTGCCAGGTTGATTTTCGACTTCGTCAACTGAGCTCTCTGATGTAGCTGGCGGGGTAATTTTTTTAGAGCGTCTAGCCCTTTTCTTAATAGGTGAACTCTTTGAGGTATTGAGACTCCTAGATCTTAAAGTTGGATTGTTACCTTTGCTCGACATTACCATGTGAAAATAGCGCATCTCATATTAATTTAATTAGAGGTAAATGTAATAATTTGCAAAAAAAAAGTGTCCTTTATCAATTACGTATATATTACGCGAGTTTGTAGAAATCTGGGTAACGTAGATCTGCTTTCGCCGAAGGGCAGCAGCCCACTGGTCGGATTAACGAATGTAAATGGCCGGCTTGTTATCTATCACTAACCTCAGGTCTATTTACACTGTTCACAATGCCGTTATAAATAACTAATTACTCACCTTGTTTATGTCCAGTTTCAACTTAATTGTTAACTTAACAGTTTACACTACTTTTTCTCATATAATATGAATTATTTCACTGTTAATAAAGTCACTTTATAAGAGACGAAATAAAGAGTGTATGTGTAAGGTTAACGCATGCGCAGATCTCGGATAAAATTGTATTTGTTATTTGTTACTTAAATGAAAAAATGGAGTGCTACCAATGGGTAGTTTCTCCTCATGTTGTACATGTCATATTACTTGTTCATATTTACTTGTTGTATTTATTATTAATTACAGTTGTAATTTTCGTTAATAAAAAATAAATAAATAAAAAATATTCGAAAAACGATGTAGGTATTTATTTGATCATGTTAAAGTTAAAATTAACTGCAAATAAAATTATTTACACTGGTTTTTATTTCAAGTTATCTTTATATTTTGTATTATTTTTACTAAAAGCATTAATAAACAGAAAATTACATTTTTTTATCACTAGGCTAAACTGGGACACAAATTATTAAAATATATGCCGATTATGTGATTTATTATTATTTTAATGTACAGGATTTGTTATGATTAATAGAATCTTATATTATTAATGTTAAATTAAATGAAACTATTAAATTATTAAAAATTGAAATTGAATATAATTTCAACATCTATTTTGTAACAGCATGGAAATAAAAAGAAAGAAGTATTAATGCAACTATTACTAATAACACTTTAAATGTGAAAATAAAACAAATTCTAATTTATAGGATGTTGGAAATGAAATGGATGAGATACATAAAATAATTAATAATAAATCACAAAATAATTTATGCTAAACAAGTAACACAGTAGATAAGGGAAGGAGTAATCATACAATAGATAGAGTTTTCAAAAACTACGCCTCCATTAACGTAATAACAGACCCTTAAATCGATGAAATCTGCAAAGTACAAATTGATATGCGAGAGGCTGTCCTTGAATATCACAACATGGACCGAAATTTAGAAGAGATTTTAAATTAAATAAATATTTTCTTATTAATAATAACGTAGTTGATTTGATGGTAGGTACACGAAATAATATTATTATTACTTAGCATTTTCAACTAAACAAAAGTATTTGTTAAATATGAAATACAATCAACTTTGTTCATATAATTTTATTTACGAAGTTTTGTTTAGTGAAGTTAAACATTTTAATAAAAGTATTTATTATTTTTTTATTTATTTTATTTTTTTCTTATCCCCATTTTCATAAAGGTTTGTTTCTTTCACATGGTTAACATACTCCTTGTATTGTACTCAGATACATTTTAAGGTTTTGCTGAGCCTTTCTTAGTTTTGTTTATATTTATTTCTGGACTTTCAATCTGGGTGATGGGGCTCACCTCTATCTTGATAATTTTCTTTGGACTAACTTAAAATCTAACTTACAACTATATTTTGCCATTGCCGAGGAGATGGCGGAAATGTTATTGTATTGAATTCTGCATTTGTTAAATATTTTAAAGAATCGTAGAATTTTATTATTCTTTTGTTTATGAATTCAGATACGGTGGGTAAATTTAAGAAGGCGTGGAGTCTATCTGATTTTTGTTTTTCAAATGTGGTATGTTTAGCTATTCTCATTAAAATGCCATTTTGGAATCGTTGAAGTCTCTTGCTTGTGTTTTCGGAAATGTGGGACAATAGAGGAGCACCATAGAGAAGGGAAGGGCGAAGAATGCTTTTGTGGATGATTAATTTTAATCTGAGACTGAGGTTTGAGGTTGTGAGAAGGTGACTGAATTTGTAGGATTTTCGTCTAACTTTGGATAGTTTTGAAGTGCAATGTGTGGTAAATTTTAAATGTCTGTCAAATTTCATTCCTAGATACACCAAATTATTTAATATTTTGATGTATGAATCACTAACTCGAAATTTTTTAGGTAATTTTTTCTTATTTTTTTGAAAAGAAAATATTATACAATCGGTTTTTCTAGAATTTATTTGGATATTTAACAATTTAAGTTCATTGTGGATGATATTGCAGGTTTCTTCCGCTTGTTTCAATGCTTTTGAAGCGTTCATGCTGCTACTATATATAGCAATGTCGTCTGCATATGCCATTACAGATGCCTTGGGATAATTTTTGCCAATTATGTCAGCAGTGTATATGTTGAACAGAGTTGGTGAAAGGACTGCACCTTGAGGTACTTCACATGTCAAAGGTATTGCATGTGAGTAATTATCACCAACATTTACAGTCAGACTTCGGCCATTGAGGAACGATTTCAAAATAGAGTACAACTGTTTGAGGCATTGCAAACGTTTCAGCTTTTCAATTAGAATAGAGTGCGATACGGAATCGAAAGCTTTTGAGCAGTCAATTGAGATCATCGCAGAGGCAGCGTTACGTTCTAGTTTTTGGGTAATTTGGTATTGCACTTTTGCTAAAGGATGCTCCGCGCATAGCTGAGGTCGAAATAAAGTTTGTTGGTCAGGTATTACGGAATGTTCCTGGCAAAAGTCTTGGAGATATGTAAGATTATTTTTTCGAAAACTTTGGAAATATGTGGCAACTAACTTATTGGACGGTAATGCTCAGGTTTATCTCCTTATTTTCCAGGTGTAAGCAACGTATATAATATTGCATGTTTCCAAGATGCCGGAAAATATCTGAGCCTAAAACAAGTGTCGTATAAGTGACATAGATATATCAAACCTTTCTTCGGAAGTTGTTTCAGTAGGATTGTTTAAATTTTATCTAATCCTGGAGCTTTGTTCCCTTTGGTTCTTCGGAGAATACTTTTCAATGTTTTAGGAGAAACAAACATGAAATTTTCTCTTTGGGTGATGAAATCATTTTGATTTGATATCATGGTGCGTTCCAATATTTCCCTGTGGTAATATTTAGCCAACGTATCTGATTGTTCCATTGTCGGCATTAGCCTATCACCATGGTGTGCTCTGACCGAATTTTTCTTTGTGATCGTTATCTGTAAGAGCTTCCAGAATTTACGGTAATCTCCATGAGTAGCAAGGACTTTGTTTTCACACAGTGACGATTTCCACTTCTTTATTAAATTTCTAATTTGTGTAGTCAAACTATTAACAGTCCTTTTGTAATTTGGATTTTTAGTACGGTACCACCTATTTTTCCAAGTATTTCTTAGAGCTATCAGTTCTAAGGTGTGATCAGGTGGAGTCCTGTGCGAGGGAGGAAGAGGAGCGAAGAGTGGAATGGATGAATTCACTGCACATGTTATTATTCTAACGAAATAATTTATAAATTCATCGATGGCATCTATGGTATGTAACTTAGGAAGCGATGTGAATCTGGTCTCTACTAGGGATCGATAGAGATTCCAGTCACCTCTACAGTAGTCATATTTGGTTGGAACTGGTTGATCGATCATTTCTACTATCTCATAAATAACCGGACGATGATCTGATGAGAAAAAGTCTAAAGCATAACAATCTCTGAATTTATACGGCTGACGAATTAAAAGAAGGTCGATAGTTGATACTTTATTCGAATTCCCAGAGTTTCGGAAAGTATGCGTCGATGGATGGATTACAGCAAATGGCAATTTAAGGAGGTAATTACCTGCTTTGTTGTTGTTATTGTTGTACCACTGAGTGTGCCAGGCATTGAGGTCACCGATGATCCAATGGTTCGTCTTTTTACTACATTCTATTAAGAAACGATGAAATTCTGTAAGGGAGCTTCTAGGTCTTCTGTAAAGTCCAGTTATTGTAACCGGGTGCCCGAGGTGTTCCTGAATAGTAATGTGGTTAATCTTGGAATCGTTAAGAATCGTTGGTGGCGGTAGCTTTTTCCAGGCAATTCCGTGACGGATCGCTATAATAACCCCGCCAAACCTTTCTCTGTTTCCATCATCCACAGTGTTATATCCAGGAATACGAATTCGGTCTGAGGATAGTCTGACATCTGTAAATACTGCAACTGAAGGTTTGATCATAGATAACAGTAATTTTATTTCTTCTTTTTTCATAATAATGCTATTGGTATTGTAATTTAAGATGGTATGATTACTAGCCATGGTGAGTAGTAAGTAAAGTTATTACGGTTTGAACTATTTGGGATATTTGTGACATGAAATTGGACATCATGTTAAAGAAGTTACCAAGGGGGAGGTGCTGGATCTTGGTCGTTCACTCCTGTAATAACCTCTGAAAAACTTTTTTTACTGACAAAAAGACGGTTTTACTGGTTTGTGAGGTTTTGAAAATTGTTGGTCAGATTTTTGAGAAGGTGCGGTTTCGGTTGGAGGTTGTCGACCACCATCGTTTCTCCTCTTAGGTGTTCCAGGAGCTCCAATCTTTTAGGGTGATTGACGAAATGAAGCCACATGCTCTTCCTTGCAATTGCTGCACTTGACTCTGTTCGCCTCTCTACGGCATTCCTTTATATCATGGGGCCCTGAGCAGCGTACGCAGACAAGAATAGGGTGGCAATGATTTTTAGTGTGACCGAACTGTTGGCATCTATAACATTGAAGTACTTCCTTGGATTTTTGGTACTTTACTATGCGAACTAGGACACGGTTTATGACTTGTAATGACATAATTTCTTCAGAATTAACCTCCGGTATTGTGGTTATGAGAATAGGAGACAAATCGGTTTTAGCACCACTGGCATCAGTCATCTGAAGGCGACGGATGTTTAAGATGCCTTGGATGTGCTATAAAGCCTCTTTAACTTCTTCAACATTTTGATCAATATCGAGACCTAAGATTAAGAATTTTTGATACGGCTGGTTGCTGCCACGTGGTGCGAATGTATGAAACTGACTGCCTTTTGTTACCATGAGGGTTATGATGTTATTGTAAGATTCAAGAGTGCTGGGATATATTTTAACGCAATAGCGGAACTTTTGAATGCCATATTCCGTAATATGATTTGAGTCCAGCAATTCGTCGTATTTCTGTGATCTTAGATCCGGCGTTCAGTAATATGGGTGGTGGTTTCACTACTGTTGCGACAGAGGCGTTTATATCATCTACAGGTATATTATTGGATAAGATAGAAAAAGAATTGGAAACATTTACTGAAGTTACTTCTTGATCCTGAGTTTTTGCTGTTTTCTTAGGATAGACATATCCGTCGGTTTTTTGGCTCATCTTTCTCTTATCCGACTTGGATTCCACTTCCATATTTTGGATCACCTGAACGGTGGGATAGTGGAGGAATGGAGCTAATTTCGCGGACCTGTAAAGTGGAATGTGGCTGGTTCCTGGGAGTTGACCCAACCTCCGATCGGAAGTCCGATCCGATATAGAGGTAAAGAGCTTTTCCTACCCATGAACCCGAGGTTCAGAATAACCACGCTAAAAAAAGGCTTTATCAAATCGAAATGCCAAATGAACTTTTCTAGATGATAATTAGTCATTCAAAATATAATATAATAGTATTTTTTTTTCCTACCCCCCATGAATTTCTTTATTACAAAGTACAATATATAAATGTATATATACATAATATATAATAGTATTTATTTGAAGTTCTATATAAATACTTATTTAAATAACTTGTTAGTTTAATCGGGAACAGGCACGACATACTGCTGCCCCCTGTGCTGCGCCTGCCCTGCGCTCAATTTGCGGCGGGTCTAAGAGAAGTGATATAGCTTTATGTCTCAATCTCCACCACATCATTAACAATTATAAAGGAAATAAATACAGCAGGTTGGTAGATAGAAACTGGCGCATGCGCATATCCACTTACAATTAGTGTGACAAATGTTGACTTATCTATGGGGAGGAATGAAAGTCTCGTAATTTTATTTTAGTAAACTTTACAATGGAAAATAGCAGTTTAATAACTAATACGGGTACAATCTATAATCAGGTATAGGTTGAATACAGAAATATACTTTCAAATCTCTATAAATGATTATAGATTGTACGCGTATTAGTTATTAAACTGTTATTTTCCATTGTAAAGTTTACTAAAATAAAATTACGAGACTGTCATATATATATATATATATATATATATATATATATATATATATATATATATATATATATATATATATATTGTAACATATTTTATTAGGGCCTTTATAAATTGTAATTGTTAATAAAACTCATGTTCATGTTTTGTTCTTTTATTATACAGTTATCAACAGAAAACATATCCTGATGAACAGGCAAGGCAGAATATAAAAAATCAGACTTTCGAAGAGAACTACAGGCCAGCAATTGCTAAACAGCCAGTACAGACCGAAGAGGAAGATAACATAAATATTGCTTATATACCAGAAGATAGTCATGAGGACTGGCAATTAAGGAACAATGGCTCGGTAAACCACATTCAAACTATATCTTTACCTACTGAACCTTCTCAATCCATCACAGAAAATGAAGAACCAACTATTGAAGAATATGAGTATCCAAAATTGGAAACAACACAGAATCATAAGAAGATCCAAGCCTTAGTAAATTCAGGCTATAAAACAGTCAGTTTAAGCCAGGAAGCCCGTAAAATAGAGTTGGAGCCCACTGGACTAGAGAAGCTGCCAGTACCTAACACTGTTGCAGAGACGACTACTAGATGGTCTAAGCCTATGAGGGAGAAAATAACTACGGATGAGATTCTACCTAACCACGCCATCAACGACGAAGGCAGAATAATCCAAGAAGAACTAGAAGACCCTAGAAGCTATCTCCGCGGTAAAGTCAAAATAAAATGACTATGATAAAGCCGATAGTCTCAATCGGGTACAGACCAAAAGGACTTTTTTAAGGAAATTTTTCGTGTCTAATGATCTTTGTAATAAAACACTCTGCTTACTTGTGAGATAAAAGATATGACTTTTGTAACTGAAAACTATTGTTAACTAATTTTATACTTGTTTAAAAGAATGTTTGAGAAAAAAATAAATAATAACTTGTAATAATTTTAACGATTATATCACTGAATTTTTTTTATTTGACAATTATAGTGAAAAAAAAAATGTTTAGTAATCATTTTTTTTTTTAAACACAGGAAAGGGTAAATGTAACATATTTTATTAGGGCCTTTATAAATTGTAATTGTTAATAAAACTCATGTTCATGTTTTGTTCTTTTATTATTTTTGAACTGTGTGAAAAGGGCATTTATATGTAATATATTTATAAATTTAATTTATTTCTAGATATTGTATTAATTTTAGTTGTGATTTAATTTGAAATTGTAAAAACAATAATAACATTTAACTAGCGATGAAGATTAAAAGGTACGAAGTATTAGAGCTAACGGACAGGAGGTCCTTCTCTGTCAAAGGTTGAATTGTAAATGACTAGTGGTATGGTGTTTTGGAGGATGCGCGTGGCGCCCTCTAGGCGTTGTTCTAATGAACTATTTAATTCATTTATGCAAGTCATTGTTTTTTCTAATAATGATTAATAATTTTAATAGCGCAACCTGTTAATTTCTTAGTGAACTATGAATTTCATTTTGAAGCTATTTAATATTTCTTTTTGTAATTCCTGATTTTGTAAATAACTAATGTTTGTAATATTTTTAGAATAAGTATTCATGTACTATAATTAAATAAAAATAAAAGGAGTTTGGACTTAGAGATCTTAGGGCCTAATTAAAATAATTGTTACTAGTGTTGCCTCTCACTAACCTGAAAACAGGTCTGAGGGCTGGTTATTAGTTTAAATACTGGCCTGCTTCCTAGGGCAGGCACTCTCTCCCGAGTCACCTTCTCACATAGGCTCCTGGTATCTCTCTGTCTGACAGTTTGAAACCAGACCAATGTGTTATTTTTTGGTTTTACCTTCCTCCTTCTCTATTCTCTCCTAACCTACCTCCTCTCTCCTTTCGTAGGAATAACTTGGTTGGCCCTTGTTTTCCTACAGTCCCCCTTGCATCTTCCAGGTTGTCCCTGGGAGTGTAGGGTTATCTATCCTCGCAATGTCAGGGGATTGCCTCCTCGGTTGCAGAGCCCTGGATGTGTAGGGGTTGTCCCCCTATCATTCTTGGCCGTCTTACCTTATCCTATCCTATCCTCGCAACGTCAGGGGATTGCCTCCTCGGTTGCAGAGCCCTGGATGTGTAGGGGTTGTCCCCCTATCATTCTTGGCGGTCTTACCTTATCCTATCCTATCCTCGCAACGTCAGGGGATTGCCTCCTCGGTTGCAGAGCCCTGGATGTGTAGGGGTTGTCCCCCTATCATTCTTGGCGGTCTTACCTTATCCTATCCTATCCTCGCAACGTCAGGGGATTGCCTCCTCGGTTGCAGAGCCCTGGATGTGTAGGGGTTGTCCCCCTATCATTCTTGGCGGTCTTACCTTATCCTATCCTATCCTCGCAACGTCAGGGGATTGCCTCCTCGGTTGCAGAGCCCTGGATGTGTAGGGGTTGTCCCCCTATCATTCTTGGCGGTCTTACCTTATCCTATCCTATCCTCGCAACGTCAGGGGATTGCCTCCTCGGTTGCAGAGCCCTGGATGTGTAGGGGTTGTCCCCCTATCATTCTTGGCGGTCTTACCTTATCCTATCCTCGCAACGTCAGGGGATTGCCTCCTCGGTTGCAGAGCCCTGGATGTGTAGGGGTTGTCCCCCTATCATTCTTGGCGGTCTTACCTTATCCTATCCTCGCAACGTCAGGGGATTGCCTCCTCGGTTGCAGAGCCCTGGATGTGTAGGGGTTGTCCCCCTATCATTCTTGGCGGTCTTACCTTATCCTATCCTCGCAATATCAGGGGATTGCCTCCTCGGTTGCAGAGCCCTGGATGTGTAGGGGTTGTCCCCCTATCATTCTTGGCGGTCTTACCTTATCCTATCCTCGCAATGTCAGGGGATTGCCTCCTCGGTTGCTGAGCCCTGGATGTGTAGGGGTTGTCCCTCTATCATTCTTGGCGTTCTTACCTTATCCTATCCTCGCAATGTCAGGGGATTGCCTCCTCGGTTGCAGAGCCCTGGATGTGTAGGGGTTGTCCCCCTATCATTCTTGGCGGTCTTACCTTATCCTATCCTCGCAATGTCAGGGGATTGCCTCCTCGGTTGCTGAGCCCTGGATGTGTAGGGGTTGTCCCTCTATCATTCTTGGCGGTCTTATACCTTATACACCTTATCCTTCTCATCCTATCTAAGCTTGTACACCCCATTCTTACAAACTTAAATAGATACACGAATACCAGGTTAATTGACTAACAGAAAGATTAAAGGTTAGAAGGACAGATTTCAGATTTTAAAAGACAAACGTCGGCAATAATAGACAGACAGACAGAGAGATAAATAAACGTAAAAATAAAAATATTACAATATATATCTCACGGACTGGAGTTATGTGGTTTATAAAAACAAATAGTGCAACGTGGTTTTCATTGACTACCGTTGACTACAGTTGGCTTGATGAAGGTCTGATAAAATGACGAAACCGGTTGGATAAAAGTGAAAAATAAATGGAATATACAGGAAGACAACGTCTTTTTTTTTTAAATTAATTTGTTGGATATAAAGTTTTAAGGTGTATCTTCGTTAAAAATGCGCTCCAAAAATTGTATAATAGCTCAACATTGTCAAAAAATAATTTCTATTCGAAGTAGAGCGGTAATTGAAAGTTGTGTGTTGCGCGCACCAGATTTTTATTTTAATTATAATTACATGTAGGATAAAATGTGACTTTTGCTGTGTGTTAGTAAAGTTAGTTTCTATAACTTTGTTTTATTGCGTTATCTAACGTTGTTTTACCCACCATTAATACCATTAAAATTTCCCTTTGTCAACCAAAAACCGAAAATAGGAAGGAATGTGATCTAACACTCATTATCTCAACATCAAAACCGAAGGAAATCCCAGCCTGGGATGGGATAGTGGGGAGCGAGAGGTTGAGCAGTCTCATCATGATCCTCTTCTTGATAGCCGGTTTTGGGTTGGCTGCGGGGCAGAACTTGCAGCTCGACGAAGGTTAGCAATATATTAATGTATTAGTGTGGTCCGTTGAAAAGTAATATATAAAAATACCTTCTGATATTCATGTACACTAACTGATATTCAGTTCGTCCTCTCTAGACTTCCCTGCCTCGATCCGCATTTAACCTGAAAACACGAGCTCGCTTGTACTGACTCACTCCGCTTCGGCCTTATGTAAAAGTGAATTTGACTAAATTGGTAGCGAGTCACTAGCCTGAACAGCTGTCCCAAACTCAATTTTTTTGTCATAATTCTATAACTCCCTTATTTTTCATCAGATTTCCTGGTTATTAAGTTTTATGGCATCATTACTAAATATACTCCATTATCTGTGCAAGAAATAAATAAAATACAAAAATAAACGACACTAAGGTATATAACGTGAGATAACACCTTATAAAATTCAATATTTTTTTCATTCGGGCATTAAAAATTCTTGTTTTGGCTTCTAAACACATTATTTATTTATATGTGTATAATCCACATGTATATATTTATTTATTTCTATGTCGAATAACATGTTATATTTTTTTAAATATTATTAAATTTTATTGATTTCAAATTAGGCTCAATCAACTAAAAAACTAGTTTCTCGAAAACTGATAGATTTTATTTGGATAATATTGGACAAATATTTAGAAACACATTGCTCATTCGGTGAAAATTTGAGCTTTTTGTTTTATTTTAATACTTTTGTTTTATTGCTATGAAAATGCGTATATGATGATTTCCAAGGCACAAAAACCAATCTCAATTTGGTTCCTCCTTAAAAATTTCTCCTTAATTTGAACTTACCGTATAGAACTGTACATTTCTGCTAAATTCTCAAATATTAAGAAAATTCAGACATATTACATGTATAGGTAAAATGAAAGGATGTACGTCCTCAGAAAAAAACATTAATTTATATAGAATTAAAACTTGATATGGAGGTATTATAAATAAATGATATCTTACATATACTTGATATATTGAAGAGAAGGTGTTTAGGTTTGTTCATTTATAAATTATATTTATTTTTACTTGTGACTGAACACTCCAACCAACTCCTCTTCAATATATCCACGACAGATAATTATTAACCCATAATACTTGATATAAGTTACGTTTTAAGATAGGAAGGCATTTGTGATACTAGTATCTTAATTACAGGAGGTATTTGGAACATGCCAAATGATCTATGTACCCTTTGTAAAATGAAATTGAGGTGTGATTTAGTCGATTTTTGGCTATTTGTTCGGTACTAAGAGAGTTTAGGGTAATTATTTGTGGTTAGGGAAAATATTAAAATTAAAATAGAGCTTATATATTTATTAAACGGGAAAAATTAGACTGCTCTGAAAAATTAGTCTAAAAAACATGGATGCATATAATTTGGTTTATTTAAAGAATTTATTGGTTATTTATTATTATAAAATATTTTAATATTTACATATACCATTTATTTATATTGTGCTCATTTATATTTGTTTGATTCAGCATGCATAATCTGGATTTAAATTATATTTAATGCATTGTTGTTTTTTCTTTTTGATCCTACATAATTTTATTTTTAACTAATTAATTAAAATTGATATTTCACTTCTATTGCTGGATATTTAATGTATTAATGGTCAACGTTTATTTAAATAGTTCATACATATAATGTTTGCTGCGGGGCTTTTCAATATAGCAAAAATGTACATATATTATTATTTTTTGTTTATGTATATGATCAACTAAATATTCCTACTTATAGTAATTACGAGATTTTTTTTTGTCTTTAATTCTTCATACGCACCTGTCATGGTAGTGACAATTAGCAGATTTGCTGTTAAGTTGAAAATGGAATGATAGGCATGACGAAGAATGGAGCCCAGCAGCACCTCTTCCCTGGCCTGTTTACATCCTAAAATCAGGAAAGGAGATCTCTCATCCAGCTCCTTTTCAGTCGCCCCCTGATGAGCATTTCAGCCGTCGTTGATAAGTTCACTGTGATGTCCGTCTAGTTTTAGATGAAATCGGGAGTAAAGAGTACGTATGTGCTGGTCAATGGTTGGTTGTCTTAGGTCGGTATGTTAAGTCTTGTTGTTGACGTACCAGGGAGCTGCAGTTATTAGTCTTAAAATTTTATATTGAAAGGATTGTAGTTTTTGTAAGTGAGTCTTTTTTGCTGAACCGTAAATCTGTGAGGCGTATGTCCAAACGGGTTTGAGCAGGTAAGTGTATGTATTTAGTTTTTGTCTAATTTTTAATTTTGATTTAGAAAACAGTGAGTATAGTACTTTCAGTCTCTTGTTCAATGTCTTTCTTTTCATTTTGACGTGTGGACCCCAGGTCATCCTTCTGTCAAATATTAGTCCGAGGTAGCGTATACTGTCCGTCTGAGGAATTGGATTGTTGCTGATATAAACTGGTGGGCATGTTTCTCGTCGAAGCGTAAATGTTATGTGTTGTGATTGTATGAAATAAAATGTAGCAGTTTGAAAAAAAAAAATTGTTTGTTAAATCTTTCAAGATGATATGAGTGGAGAGTTCAAGGTTAGAAGATAACACATTGACACACAAATAAAACACACACAAAACATATATTTAACGTATCTTTGGGAGGCATTAATATAATATATATATATATATATATATATATTATATATATATATATATATATATATATATATATATATATATATATATATATATATATATATATATATGCCACAGAGCTTCATGCCGCAAACTGGGAAGCTGTAGCCCAAGATAGGCAGAGGTGGAGAAGGCTGGTTCAGGAGGCCAATGATCTAAAAGGTCTGGATAGCCAAGTGAAAAAAAAAAAAAAAAAAAAAAAAAAAAAAAAAATATATATATATATATATATATATATATATATATATATTATATATATATATATATATATATATATATATATATAGATGGGACATTGAAAACAAATGAACCTAATCATCATTGGTTAAGTAGCACAGAGAATGGTAATTCTAATTATTTAGGTGAAGGTACAACTCTTCAGAAGTACCCCTTGATAATTGGAACACAGTATAATATTCCATTTCTTCTAGATAAGCCTGGTGTAGGAAATAATGTTATAGGAGAATTTTATGACATAGACGAAAAGATGTTGTTAAATTTATACATACTCGAGGACTATCCGAAATTTTATGAAAGATCAGTCATACCAATCAAAATGAAAACTGAAGTATTAGATTGCTGGACCTACTTCATTAAAAGATACAACGCTGAACTTCTTTGTAAAGAAATGTTTCCTTCTTATAGTACAAAAGGACCACATAACCTTCCGTATTGTGAAAGGTATTTAAGAGATCCTAGCTATAACTACAAGCTTGAAATATTGGGGACTGGAAGAAGCGACTTTAGATGATCTAACTAATGAATATATATATATATATATATATATATATATATATATATATAATATATATATATATATATATATATATATATATATATATATATATATATATATATATATTAAAAATAACGGTTTGATTTTTTTTTTTTATATATATATATATTTAGCGATTAGAATTCTTTAAGAAAACCAAGTAACTCCCTTCAACCTTGAATCAATTAACGTGAACGTCATCCCCAGTCATAGGTCATCTTTACAATCAACCGCCTTAATCTTTACGGTTTGGAATTTCCTTCTGCATTACTGGGAATTTTTCCATCCTTCCTTATCTGAACGAGACAATGATTTATCACGAGGAAAGTTCATGTTCTAAAACGAAAAAACAGTAACAAAACAACATGAAAATATTTTATGTTTAATAAATATATATGAAGTCTTTGTATAGTCTTTAAATTATAATCATCAACTATAAACAGAAAAAAAAACATGAACATACCGAAATATTTACTTATGCATATAAATAATTAAAAAGAACATTAATCAAATTCTTCAGATAGACAGTAAAATTTAAAAAAGATGTCTGCCAAGTAAGATCAGTGTAGCTTCATCACCATTTTCGATAATTACACAATTACTTATACCTCAAGGTTTACAATCTTTTGTTTGAGAATAAAATGTTGGGAAGAAGCCATTTTCAAGCAGTAATCCCTCAACATTCGTGGGTTTGATATCCACAAGTTTTAATTATCAGCGGATACAAAAATGCGGAAGAGTTTTACATTTGCGTATTGTATATTTTCCTATTCGTGATTACAAACAAAACATGAACAATTCCTAGTACAGTATGAATAGTTTGAGTACATACGTTTTTGCTGGCAAAGTGGAAGAAACAAAAATATTGAAGAAAAAATGTTTTTGTTTGTTTGGTATTAACAAAATCGACATTTTCCATAAGCCAGCACAAAATTGATTTAAGAAAAAATGAAAGAATATGTGTGAAATTTGTAAATTCCTGGAAACTAACGCCTATACATATTTATTTATAACTTATTGATGTTCAATACCTTTGGAATATGACTCCCTTATTGTTTTGAAATCTATAGTAGGATAAAAACCAGCAATAGAAGACGTAGTCTCAACAGGACATTTGCTTTGGGAATACTTGAATTGAATGATATTGCTAAAAAAGGACAGTTGATGGAATTATCAGAGGTCGTGGTGGCCGAGTGTGTTGGAGCATTGCCCGGTCTATCATCCTCGTGCCTAGTGAACCCGGTTCGAATCCGGCCTGGGAGTGGTTGACTTTTATTTCATGACTGACCCACGGAATGAAACTCGACCCTCCCGCTCTGGTTAAAATAGTTTTGGTTGTACCTCTAGAACAATACTCCCCCCATATGCCAGAAATTGTGGATAGGAGGTTATCCAATAAAAACTAAAGTTTATAGTCTTTGTTTAAAGCATGGTAATAATAAATAATACAAATTATGATTAGATACCAGATTTTTGTGAAGCGAAAACCGAAAAATCTTGTGATATAAAACTCAAAATGCCCACATTGGTTCAATAAATACCAAAAAAAAAGGCGTGTAATTGTGTAACTAGAGAAACACTTTATTTTCATAAAATATAAAATATAAAGGATTGCTGCCCAATTATATTGGGTTGCTATATACACAGCATACTCTTCTATCCTTAGGACAATATATGAACTTATATATAAATATACAGAAGTATTAGTTAATATTAGTAAAATAGATATACATTTTTATTATTTTATTTTTTTTTCCATTTTTTTTTCCTTTTTCCTTCCTTTCATTGTTCATGCTTTTTTTTTTTTTTTTATCATTTAGCTTCCCTTTCTCTCACTTCTCTCTCTTTATCTCTATTGTTTTCAATTATTCATTAAATAAATAAATAAATACATAAATTAAAACTCTCGGGCTAGCCATGCACAAGGTGGTGAATGATTCCCAAGGAGTCGAGGACTATATTTTCAGCCAACCTCGCTACGTCCTTAATGTCGACACCTAGTTCCTCGAGGAAGCTCCTTGTTCTTTTTGGGATAGTTCCGCGAGACCCAAACCAGAGGCCTCTCACGGTGAACTCTCTCTCTCCGAAGGTCTCACGGAATTTATCTTTTAGGAAAGGGATACATTTATCGTACGTGTTCTTCTTTTCCCTTTCCACTTCACCCGCCTGATTGAGGTCATTGCTCTCAAAGCGGACAGTTGGATCCAAGATCAGCGCTGTCCTTCCTGTCTTGGGAAATGCGACGATATCCGCGTATCTCGTAGAGCCTTCACTATCTATGCAATATACCTCGTCAAAGCAGGTGTATAAAATATCGTAAACTAGGGAAAACAATATTTTTACATTAATTTATGATATTAAGACATGAATACCTAATATTTCTTTGTGTTGAAGATACAGCTACTGAATTGAAATTAGATGTAACGTGAGAAAAAACCTAAATCTAATTCAACAATGAAATACAATTAGCGTAAATCAAGATGATATAAAAAAATACATAAAAAAGTCAATATAAAATTAGTAATATATTTATACTTGAATATAGAAACTGTTTTTTTTTTTAACATCACAAATCATTAACACGCATTTTAAAGAGCTATGCCCCAACTATGTAGATATACTAATTTTTTGTTCTTATACAGGGTTTTCCCTAAGTAGAGGGAATTACATGAAAGGATGAAAGTAGACATCAAGATCTACAAAAAAATCACAGAAACAATCGATCAATTTCAAGTAGGAATTTTAAGATTTGTATTTTATTAAGCAAGTCATGTTTTTTGTAGAATAGGAAGCGATAACCTAAAAATTATTTAATTTAAGCAACTAAACATTGATCTATAGCAAACTAGACATAATTTACTTCAAAGGAAAGTAGATTTTGCCATTGTTAAAACTATTTAAAGAGGACTATTGAGTGACTAAACGCAGCTGAGTTTCTTTTAAAAATCGATCATAAATCATGTGTGATTAATTTTATTACTCTCCAACTATACGACAGTTACCCCAATTTTAGGTTGAAGAGCAACAAATAAAATAATAAAAGTGATAAACGGAATTTAGCTGTGTTTATCCACTAAATAGTCCTCTTTAAATAGTTTTAAAAACGGCAAACTCTACTGTCCTTTAAAGTGAATGATATCTAGTTAACTATGATGGAATATTTAGTTATTTAAATTAAATGTTTTATAAGTTATCGCTTCCTATTCAACAAAAAACCTGACTCGATTAGAAAAGCACAAATCTCAAATTTCCTTCTTTTCTGCAGTAAATCGGACAATTGTTTATATGAACTTTTTTGTAGGTCTTGATGTCTACAATGAACCTTATAAATATTTTCCTCTACTCCAGGGACATCTTGTAGGAATATATATATATATACGGTCTAAAGCATATATTTTTCTAGCTTAACCATTTTTTTTACACCTGGCATTATTATTGTTTGCAGAAGACCCTTGCCATACTCTCGACGGAGGCCAGGGCGTTTGTACCTTACGCAGCCGATGCAACACCCTCGGAGAATTAGAGCTGAACCGCCCTCCATTCTGTGGCTTCAAACGCTTTGAACCGATCGTCTGCTGCCCCACCAATCTAAAAACCACGACTAGCCAGGGGAAAAAGGTGGAGCAATGTAAGAGTATTTTCAAATTTCTATTATATGGTCTAATAACAGCTTGCTTTTATCTCTACAGACTTCTCAGTTAAATGTAAAACCTATTTCACTAACAATCACTGAAAAAACTTCAACAAAATAAAATAATCATTCTAATAATAATAAATTCTACGTAATACCAACTTCATTTGTATTTGAAAAGATGTCCGCCGATATTTTTATTACATAAGTATTGCAATGTAATTGACAATGTTACAATAGAAATTATATCAATTTTTATGACAGGCAGGCAATAAGTGAAAAAATTATAGCTTTTAGCGGACAACCCAAATACATAAATTTCGCACTGCTTAATCGGGTAATAATATTTACAGTAATTACTATTGAAACAATTAATTAACGAGTAACTAACTTAAATAATATTATCTAGCATCAATCTGTTGGTGTTATCAATCTGTTGTTGGTGTTTTTTGTTTATAGTTTGTAGGCTGTTGAATCAAGGATTCTCGAATATCAACAATGTCAGAAAAGTCTTGGGCGGTAATGAGTCTGCACCTAGGACACATACCTATATGGTAAGGCTTTCAAAAGTTATATTTCACGCTATCTCTTATTGCTAGTAAACAATAAGTTTATTGCTAATAAGCTTCTTGTTATATTTTTTCTTTCTATTACATTTGTTTGTGTGCAGTGGTGCCCAGAAAAGGGTAGTATAAGGCCATAATAATTTTTAGAATGTGTATTTTTATGGGGTTATGGATTATTAAAGTGGGTAACTTTCTGCTCGGCCATATAATTAAAGAGAGATTTTAATTTTATTGGGTTTCAATTTGGAGGAACTTTCAAAACAGAGAGCAAGCCAAAATCTGAACTGCTTCTAATTTCCCTTGAATTGATTTTAAGAACAGAAGAATAGGTAATCAGTTTGAAACATTTAATTGTATTTATTTTTTACAATAAATTAGGCCAATTATCACCAACATTTTATTGATACGCATTAATTTCGACGTTTCGACGGGTCATTTTCAAAACTTGATGAGTCCTCCATTAGGGGTTTCTCCTACATCATTTCTGGAGGGACTGGATTGGGACGTCATTTCAATCCCTCCAGAAATGACGTAGGTGAAACCCCTATAGAGCATGACGAATGAATGTTCACTGAACATATTAATTACGACATTAATGATGAATATATAACGGAGGACTCATCAAGACTTGAAAATGACCCTTAGTATGGTCGAAACGTCGTAATTAATAGTTTATCAATAAAATGTTAGTGATAATTGGCCTAATTTATTGTAAAAATCAAAACTTCAAGACTCCAAAATTAGGATAAATGAACAGAATAAATTTAATCGTACTGTTTTTATTTAATAATTTCTAAGCTTGATTTCAGTTTATTATGAGGACAATAATAAAATCCTAGGTATTTTTTATCAAAAACGTTTTAAAACTGAGCGTTCCAACAATAATATTTTATAAAAATACATTTCATACATCTTTTGTAAGCAAATCATTAATTTATTACTTGATAGATGATTCGATTTTATTTTATGACTTCATTTCTGATTTATTTATCATTCTTTTACTTTATTTTTTTTGTAGCCTCTATACTTGACTTTTTATTTTATGAATTATAAACTTGTAATTTATTTTAAATTAATTAGGGTTTATGGTTTTCTTCCGAAAACAACTGTATGGAAAGCGGAGTGGTTCATGGGCAGTATTTAAGAAGTATTGGGGAGAGTCAAGGTTGGTGTGAAATGATAACAGTGTTGAATGCATGGATGGAAAAAGAGGGGATAGAATGCTATACATAGAGGAGTAGCTCAGTGATGAATTTATTACCTGTAATATAGTATAATTAGTTGGCTCATGCAAATAATTGGCCTACAATATTGGTCAATGAACAACTGACAATATAAAATTTTAAAAAATCTGGTGCACACAACATAAAAGTTTCACCTACCGTATAAAATATTTTAAGTGCATTTGCATCAGAATTTGAATTTGTCTTCTCGGGAAAGACAAATTCTGGGGAAATTTCGATTCTTCGCAGATTTTATATTAGTTGCCAATTACTTATTTTTAATACGGATATATTCGTTATAATAATAATAATAACAATAATAAGGCTTAGCGAACCCGAAGATTCGATGCCGACACCACCAATCGCTTGTTACACACCTCCCTCCACCGTTCGCCGTCCAAACCGAGTCCCTTCAGATCGGCTTTAATGCAATCGTCCCACCTTCGCTTCGGTCTACCCCTCGGACGCTTACCATTCGGCACAGCAAATATTGACCTTTTAGGAATTCTCTCGTTACTAAGCCCAACAACTTTACAAGCCCATTTGATTCGCCGCGATGAAATTACCTCAATTATATTACCCGGATACAGCTCACGCAATTCGGCGTTGTGTAACCGTCTGAACTCTCCGGTTAACTCATCCTTCTTCGGTCCGAATATTCTACGCAATACTTTATTTTCAAAAACCTTAAGACGCTGCTCATCCCTTAATGTAAGCGGCCAAGTTTCGCATCCATAAAGAACTGTAGGCAAGATAATTGTTTTATAGATTCTAATTTTTAAGTTTCGGGACAAGAGGCGCGAACTAAGTAGTTTTGTCACAGAAAAATAACAAGCATTCCCCGCCTTCAGTCTAACCTTAATCTCTTCTTCAATTTCGTTTTTTCTAGTTATCGTAGAACCTAGATACCTAAATTTATCTACCTGTTCAAACATATTACCATCTATATCGATATCACCAGTAGTATCGCCATTTTTGCAGCTAACCATATATTTTGTTTTATCCACGTTTATTTCGAGTCCTAGTTCTTTACCGGCTTTCATTAACGTTGTCGTATTTAGTTTTATAGTTTCAACGTCTTCGCTTAACAGTACCAGATCATCAGCATAGCCCAGCACGGATGTTGTCCCGCCCAGATCCAACCCTTTCTCGGTTCGCATTACCTCCCTAATGGCATGTTCTAATGCCAAATTGAACAGGACAGGCGAAAGAGAATCCCCCTGTTTTAAGCCCGAACGAACCTCAAATTTTTCGGACAAATTATTACCGATTCTAACTTTATTGAGTGTCTCCGTCAAGCACATCCTGACTAGATTTACTAGTTTTTTTTGGAATCCCCTGCTCGATTAGAATATTATACAGTTTCTGGCGGTCAATAGAATCGTAAGCCTTTTTAAAATCTATATACAGCTGGTGAACAATACCGTTATACTCCAATTTTTTCTCTAATATTTGCCGTAAAGAAAATATTTGATCAATTGTCGAACGATTCCGTCTAAATCCGCATTGGTAGTCTCCGATAATTTCCTCGGCGTATTCCGTGATTCGACTGGTTAAGATTGAAGTGAATATTTTATAACATACCGGAAGGAGTGAAATTCCTCGATAGTTATTACAATCCGTCCTCGGACCCTTTTTGTGAATCGGAATAAGAATAGATTCTTTCCATTCTTCAGGTAATTTCTCGTTCACCCAGATCTTTTTAACCAACCGATGTATTTTAGAAACTCCAGCTTCCCCGCATGCCTTAATTAGTTCAGTAGGAATATTATCGATTCCCGCTGCTTTATATGATTTTAATTTTCCGATAGCTACTTCAACTTCCTCTTTACTTGGTCCTTCTATTAACGGTTCAGCACTCTGGTACTCAGAAGGAGGACACAGATCATAATTTCCCGTATTTAAAATATTGTCAAAGTGGTCCTTAAACTTATTCAATATGTCAACCGGATCGGTCAGAATATTGTTATTATCATCCCTAATTCCAGACGTTACGGGCCCTACATATTTACGTGATCTGTTTATACCTTTGTACATGTCTCTTACGTTATTTTCGATTCTATTAGTTTCTATTTCAATTATTTTATTTTTAAGATACTCCCTTTTTTTATTTTTGAGCAATTTTGTCGTTTCGTTCTTTGAGATTCGGAAGTATTCCAGATTGTCTTCGCTAGGATTATTTAGAGCTTTTAATTTAGCGGCTTTTCTTTTTTCACACATGTTTAAGCAATCTTCATCAAACCACGGTTTGTTATTCTTATTTTCCTTTTTTCCTAGACACGAGTTACCGACCGCTTTAATATTATCCCTGATCTCTATCCATAACTTGTCAATATCCTCGTGGTCCTCGTCAGGAAGCTCTAAAGCTTCAAACCTATTCTTAACATCTAGCTCGAATTGGTTTCTAATTGATGGATTTTTTAATTTTTCCAAATTAAAATTCTCAAAATCGAAACGGTTTTCTTTTCTCTTTTTTATATTAAGTTTTTGTCGAAGTTTCGCGATTACTAATTCATGATCCGACCCACATTCTGCTCCGCGATAAGACCGTACATTAATTATACTGCTTTGCCAGCTATGTTGTATCAAGACATGATCGATTTGATTTCGTGTTTGCGAATCCGGTGATGTCCAAGTATATTTATGAATATCCTTGTGTTTAAACGTCGTACTTTTAATTATCAGGTTTTTCGAGATGGCAAAGTTTATCAGACGGATCCCATTATCATTACTATATTCGTGCAAACTTTCTTTACCAATCGTCGGAATATAAACTTCTTCCCTTCCTACCTTTGCGTTCGCGTCACCTACAATTATTTTCATGTAGTTTCGCGGTAGTTTATCATAAACCCATTCGAGTTTATCGTAAAATTCACTTTTGACTTCATCGTCACTGTCTTCGGTCGGACAATGTATGTTTATTAATGCGATTTTAAACCAACGTCCCTGAAATGTAGCTACCGAAATTCTATCACTAAAGAATTGTACGTCCCTCAAAGCGGATAGTAATCTACTCCTAATTAGAAACCCGGTACCCAAACAATGATTCCCGCTTCCTCCGTACCAAATAGTGTACTTTCCTTCCCTCATCGAGCCCTCCCCTGGCCAGCGAACCTCTTGCAGAGCCACGACATCCAAATTGTACCCATTTACCTCATTCGCGACCGATTTTAGCCCCCTGCTGTGTTTAAACTCCTTACGTTCCACGTACCAATATTTAAATCCCTATATTTCAACTTGCGCCATGAATCCCCTAAAGCAGTCCCCACCCGGAGACCCGAACGGGGGACTAGTTTACCTCCGGATAATGAGCGTTTTACCTTAGGGAGATCCATGACTTTTTGTGGTGTTTGGTGAACTAAAGATATGTGAGTAGGGCGTTCAATCCTACGTCACACCCTCCAGCAAGTCTGGTGGGCCCCTACCTCCAGCAAGTCTGGAGGTCCCCTCCCTCCAGCAAGTCTGGAGGGCCCCTCTCATTGTTGGTAAGCGAGTCCATCGGACTTAACCGGGAGGAACTTCCAAGGAATTTCCACCGACCATCCCCACATCCGCCACCCGTGGGACGCTCCCCATACGCGGTAATGAGCCCGCGCGAGGTATATTCGTTATAGTAGGATATAATTAATAATGTTGTGGGCAACTAAAATGGATGCTATGTAATTATTATCCATAAATGGAGTCCTTCATTAGAATATGGCAGATTAGATTCGTGTACCAAGTCTGTGGTATCGTTTTATCTTCCCATATTTTCCCACCTCTGATTGTGGATTGTCCTTCCCTTTCTTGTCGTAAGCCTTTCGATAACTGTTTCTACATCCAATTTATTTGGTTCTTGAATCTATTGCGGGTCTAGGTCCTAAGTGAGGTCGATGTCTCTTGGTTCGTGGTTTTCTCTTGTTAGGGAGGATGACAGAAAGATGTCCATTATCTTTTCCTTTGATAGCGTAGAAGTCCATCTTTTCCTTATATTTACCCTGCCATGCCAAATTAATAAACCTGTGGATTTAAAAGTTTAAATTCAAATAGAATTTTGATCTGTTTTCATAAACCATAGGTCCAATGCCAGAGTGGCGTGTATGCAAATTTTGGGTTTATGGTTTTTATTTTTTAATGTAATAATAATAAATAATAATAAGATCGAGAATGAAGTTAAATTTATTAACATGACACGACCAGGTTAAATTGGAAATATTATTTCTCTAACAGTAATCCCCTTTATAATTACCACCGTTTAACACATTTACACATACACACTTTTCTTTGTACCAACGAAATGATCCCTACTGAATTTAATCCACAATTCAGCTTATTTTTTAGCTACTCCTTGAAGTTTTCTAAATTTTTACAAAATTTTTCAACTATGCAGGTTTTGATCGGCTTCGGGAAAAGGGAGAAGATAAACTGGAGTTGCGCTGGTTCTCTCATTACGGCAAGATATGTCTTGAGTGCAGCTCATTGTTCTGATCCCCCTGAAATGTATGTAACCATTATTGTTTTTTTAATTTCATGAGGGTTTTTCCAGAGTTTATTTAAAATTCTTAATTCATGTACAAGAAAAAGAAAACACGGATACCTTCAGATGACTCTCAGCTTTAGCTTCTTCCGTAACTAACCTCAAATTAACCAATACAGGAGCTTACTTAAGAAAAAAATTTTCCTTAAACTGCAGAACTTAAAGCCTATTAGGAGGCTGATTGATGTAGTTTACTATCAGTTTTTGATAAATTCTTCTTATTTGCGGGATGCTCTGAATTAACAGGAATTGTTGACATTTAGATCACCTAATGGACGTTTATTTATCATTATGAGTTTATTTTACCCAGTAAGTGTGTAAGCAATAATTTAAGATAATTTTTAAAATATGAATGTGGCATATATCAATTGTTCTCCTCGATTCTCATTTTTTTTTTTTTTTTGGCACAATAATTTCTTCACTAGGAAGCAAACAAAAATTTATCATATCTATACGAATTAATTATTGTTTAATATTAAACATAAAATCAATCGTTTTAATGTAATTTTATTCTAGAGGTCCTGCCAAATGGGCCAGGTTAGGAGAATTGGACCACAATTCCACTTCGGACGACGCTAAACCTGTCGACATGACCATTGTCGAGAGGATCCGACACCCGAAATACATACCAAGACAGAAATATAATGACATCGCCCTCTTCAAATTGGATAGTGATGTCGTTTACAATAATTATATATTGCCGATATGCCTCCACACTAAGCGGCAGATAACCACAAAGATTGCTACTGTGATTGGTTGGGGAAGAACTGGATATTGTAAGTATTAACCCGTTGCAGTTTTATTTATTGTTAAAAGTTTAATGCAGCACTATTTCTAAGAATGAAGAATACAATACTAAGGGCACATATGGAGATGGTGCTGTCGCCTTTTAGGAGTGGTGTTGCTTCGGTTAAACTTGAAATGGACTAAACCAACTTTACTCTTCCACCCGTATAAGGAATCTTTCAAGTATGAACAATTATCTGCAAATAACTAACTGGGAAAAATCTTTATGAACATAGTATTTAGACGGTTTCTCTCAATAGCCTAGCCATTAGTACCTCAAAGACGGTGTAGGATGCAGTGTACACAGCAATGGTCGATCCGAGACACCTTAGATGATCGATATCCTTGCCATGACCATGAAGCTTGGCCCTAAAACTCCCATGCCCCAAGAGAAATTGCAAGAACCAGTAGTCCGGGAGGATCCACTTCGCTTCTGAAGGCGACTGGGATGTAGAAAGTACTTCCTCAGAATAAATTCTTTCGGGCTTTTCATGCACCGCCGATTCATTTTTCTATTGTATCCTCTTGGATTGTTTTTTTTACATTTACAGGGGTTCTCGTTAATTCTCACTATGAGACTTTCCGGCGGACACACCGAGCCTATTCTTCGGTGATCCATAGTTAAGAAACATCCTTCACTTCTAGGCTTAGATTTTCTATTGGAGCTAGTTTCGCATGTACCCCTCGTTCATGTAATCTGTGCCACTTAATAATTTTGGTGACACCAGAGACATGCGGACAAAGATGGAAACTGCCTTTATTGTGGGAACAATAGCTAATTTGATTCCTATTTCAATAAGCACCTAAAGTAATAAGTTGGACAATATATTATTGATGATCTTCATAAGACTCTTAGCCATCCCAATGGTTGTTACGTGTGTTGGTCTCGATATTACACTTGGTTTCGTTGGCAGGCACTTAACAGTACCTATCAGCAACCTTTTTGGCTTTTTTTTGCATATGGTTTATATGCAGATGATGTGTAAAGAGTTACTGAATTATGGTTTGCTTCCTGATTATGCTGGTTCTTGGTTGCTTTTTTACTAGCACTTCAGCTTTACTCTTGGCTCTTTTACTTTTGATCACCAAAGAAGTCTCGCCGACTTTTTGAAGGTCCAGCTGAAGCTATGTTTTTCGTAGTCAGTGGATGCGATTCTATAGAAAGTTCAACTATATTTTATTGTTACACTAACTAGTTTTTGAAAGTTACTTACAAACCAAGGTGTTAACAATGATTCTTGTTAGCATGTTTTTGACTTTCTTCAAGGCTAATGTTTCCTCAATTTACTACTAGATAAGGCCACAAATTTCTTCATACATATCCGCCAGTTTACGAGCAAGATGAGAGTATGACTTTTTAAAAGAGGTTTTGCGGAATATAATTTTATCAGTTATCCAATCTCTTTATTATCATACAAGACTTTTTTTAATGATCTTGAAATTTTATCAATATTATGGTCTTAATATACATATGTTTTATAATTATCCGTTCATGTTTTATTACATGTTTATAGATGATGACTATAGCAACAAGCTACTTGAAGCAGCTATAGAAGTCTACAATGACACGGAATGTAAAAGGCTAATGTTCAGCAAGATTACGCCTGAGATACGATATGGTCATGAAGCAGATCAGATGATTTGTGCTGGAGTGCCAGATGGGAGCAAGGATGCCTGCCAAGTCCGTATTTTTCATCCTGTGGTTAAAAAGATAAAACATATAAAATAAAATAAATATGAAGCATTACTAAATCTTAATTTTTCTAGGGTGATTCTGGTGGTCCATTGGTTGTACTTGAAAAAGGTATGCGTATCAGGACTCAACTAGGAATTACATCCTTTGGGAGGAAATGCGGAAGTCCAAATTCTCCTGGGGTGTACACCAGGGTCTCAAATTATATATCCTGGATAGAGGAGGTAGCTTTTGGAGACTTTGTCATTTCTTAGGTTAAAAATAAAATAAATTAAAAGTTTTATCGTTACTCTTGTATTACTATTGTATGTATTATATTGTTTTAAAAATATATTTTTATTCTCGTATTTTAAGTTTAAGTTTTATATGTCAATGATCGTATTTTTTTTAGTGTATAATAAAGGATAGATCTTCTATAAGGCAATATGTTTGTGAATATATTACTTTTACTTACCTATCTATGTAATATACAGTAAAGTATTGTGATCGTGAACATTTTCACATCTGAGTTTTCAACGGAGTCCAAACGACCAAGTCTCGCAAAATGTTGTTTGTGTATGTAACAATCTAGAAAAAAAAATTAAAATAAATGAAAAGTATGAAACTGAGATCACATATTTTAGTCGAGGTATATGTCTGGGATGTTACAGCAACATTTTCCTGAAAATCGGTTGACCGAAAGTGCCACTTTATATTACCGATTTCACATATTTTTACGATTTTAATTAAATTAGGTATATCAGTGTAGAATTTGATGTTCTTTCAGTGAGGTCTTGTTCCCTCTGATGTGGCTTTACAGTGTTAAATGCTTAATATTCGGAATTTCTTCCTCTGAAGTATTTTTAATTGTTTATTTTGAATAATCAGCGAATTTTCATTATAGTAGTAATGAAAAAAGACTCAATAAACCTTGAAATGGTTTGATAATCGAATAAAGGAGAAAAAAGGAAAAATGTTCTTATAGCTTAAAAATGAATTTTCGGAAATAATAGTTTGAACATAAATGTATAATATATCATTGAAAATCTGATGTTTTTAGAAAAAATAATTTCTAAGTTCTCTGTTTTTGGAAATAATAATTTCCAATTCAATATCAATTGTTATATTTATTACAAATAAATAAATATTTGTTGTATTTCCAAATTTACATGTTTTCGTTTCGGAATATTTATTCCCATCTTCAGAACTACAATCCCATGTATCTTTGTTGTTTCATGGCTAAAAATGAGTTAAATATAATGCATGTTACATTAAATTTGTAATTACCTTAAGTCTAATGTGCTCCATTGTCAGGTTCTAAATTCATATTATAACAAATTATAGTATATAATATCCAGAGCATCATCATGCCTTTAAACCAATTATTCGGTGTCTGATCATAATTTCTAAGTTATAAAGTCGTCGAGAATGGCGAATAGATTAAAAATAATAATTTCTGAAAACTAATATTATTTAAAGAACAGACTCCACTGGCTTTAGCACCAGTGACGCGGTTGAGAGAGTAGCGCAAGGATCTCTTGGAGTCCTGCTTTTCCTTCTATAGTTGAGGGAGAAGCCTGGTTTGGGGCTCCCTGCCAAATTGTATATATTGTATATAGGTGTGACTATGTTTTTATTTTTTTTAATTTACATATCTTTAAGTTATTTTATTTTTTTATTGTTCATGGTTTTTGATTATTATTTTACTTTTATTAATTTTATATTTTCTGTATATATGGTATGAATGTGTTCATGTATCACTATATACTATTGTCCACGTGACAGATTGCTATAATTCTAAATAAATAAATAATTTAAAGTAAAACACATGTTTTCAAGTAAATTAAATGAAATTTTCTCAGTAAATATAAACTTTTAAAATTATTTTTAAGTTTGAAAAATAAGAGTGTATAAAACACCTAATCGCTTAAAAAAACTATTTTATTGTTGGTACTTGTGATCTACAAAAAATGAGATATAGAAATATTTCATGGATGAGGAAATCAAATGTATTACCTTAAATACATTCACTGTAGAATCCGATGTTATATTTAAATAATTACGTATCTATCATCAGAATATTCCGAAGGATCATTATGTAACGTTTTAGAAAATTATATTAGTAAAATCCTAACACTGTGTTAATAATAATACATGTGTCCTATCAGTTAATAACAACCAACAATTGCATCCCAAATCCTTCAATCACACATCACAAACCTTGAAGAATGTTGTCAAAACTGGAGGATAAAAATAAATCCCATCAAATCATCTTTACCCTTCGTCGTAAACCTGTGTCCTCTTGTCCTACAGTATCCTTTAATAATACCCCACTTATCCCTGTTGAACAAATTCGATACCTTGGACTCCACTTAGACAAACGTCTAACTTGGAATCCTCATACCAGACTGAAACGACAAGAAACAGCTCGACGTTTCCGACTACTCCAGCACTTACTAGACAAACGCTCTAAGCTCCCAGTCAATTACAAAAGACTCATATATATGACTACAATAAGACCTATTTGGACTTACGGAGTTGAGCTCTGGGGCTCCACTAAGCTATTAAATTCCTCTCGTATCCAATCCTTACAATCCAAAATCCTTCGTAAAATCCTCACTGCTCCTTACTTTGTCACAAACAAAATCATCCATAACGACCTTAATGTACCTTATGTTTCTGACCTGGCCCAATCCAGATACCTATCCTTCCATAACAAACTTCAGAAAAATCCAATCCCTCTCGTTTCTAACCTTGCTTCCTCTTCGATCCCTGACAACCCTCCGAGAAGTCTGAAAAGGAGATGGCCTCGAGATCTCCTTTTGTAAATACATTTTTAAAGTGCTACCAATGGGTTGTTTCTCAACAAGTGATTTCATGTTATTATATTATTTTGTTCACGTTTACTGAATGTATTTTTAGTTGTAATACAGTTGTAAATATCATCAATAAAAAAAAATAGTAAAAATAATTTAATGGATCTCCCTTTATGAAATCATAACATTATTCACCTAAAATTGGTGTAACATCTTTTGACCTGCTGATGGCAGGAAATGAGAATCTCGTAACTACATTTTAGTAAATTTTACAAAGAGAAATTAAGAATTTTATCACAGTAATAACGGAGTATAACAAATAATGTTATTTAGATTTAATTCCTATAAGTTTCACTGTGTAGTACAATCCATACTCATTTATAGGTCAAATAAACGGATGTACTTTTAAGTCCTTCCTGGCATATATAGCTCTGAGACTGGAATTATGTGGTTAAAAAAAGCGGATGAAGTTACTAAGTTTTTATTGCCTACCGTCGATATAATAAAAGAGATTTGTATTATTATTGATTGTATTAATGGCTCTAATGAGTTTTTACAGGTTAGTAGAAAGGTATCAAGTTAAGATCCATTAAAAATTTACTCCAAAAACATTGTAATAGTCCAACTTTACCAGAAAATAATTTCTTTTCAAAATAGAATGAGTACCTCTAGAGAACGTAGGTGGGGCAGAGACATCGTTTATGACGGCTAGATGGCCTCTAGAAGTAAACTCGTTGATTTAAGCACCTCTTCTGTATGTTCGAGTGCATCCCTAGACCGTGTTCCAGGAGTTGGTATCTGAGCAAATCATCACATATCTAGAGTGAGTTATAACATCCATGGCAGACATGTCTTCTTCAATATCCTTTCCGCTAGGGAGGTAGGCTGAAACCAGGGTAAAAGTTACCCTGCTGTGTTAAATTACTCCACTTAACATAACATGCCACACTATCTGCCATAGAGTATTGCCTCAGATCCATCACGTCGAGATTATGATTGTTTATCACAATAGCAGTCCTAGGCTTCCTCCCTCCACTGTTTGAGGGTTAGCTCCTCTCTCCGTTATCTAGAGCTACAACTCTCTACGTGAGACCTCCATGATGTCGTTTCGTTGGGAGAGAGCACGAAGATCATCTGCCACCATTCTTCGGCCGCCCATGTTCAACTGGAGGATGTTGATCATAATCATAATATGTCCTTTTAGCCACCTCCTTGCACCACGTTAGGTGCACAGGGCACTCCCGGCTTCCCTACTTGTGCTTCGTTTGGCTGGGATGGGTGTTCGCCCGTACACAGTTAATACAAGTCGGGTCAGCCATTACCTTTTTCATTGGACAAAAATTTATCATATGACCACTATTTAAACACAAATACATACAACAGCATCTGCCGTGCATGTAGCCTTTGTGTGGTCGTAGCCCTGGCACTTCGAGCACCGAGGGGCGTCAAGGTAGTCGTTAAATATTAAAGACCACCACCCTCCATTCAAACTACCTATGTCTAAAAACTGAAATCGAACCATTAGGTGCACCTCCAGCACCTAATTCTTAATAAATCCGTTTTTAGCAGTTGAGGAAAAGAGGGATCGGATGTCGTCATTAATGAATGTTGTTGGGACCGCCTTCTCGGGTATTCTTTCCCAGAGAAATTTTTCAAGTTCATCTGCAAACAAGTTCCTCACCTCCAACTTAGGCTTTTCGGTAAGTAACCCGTTTTCCCGCAGACCCTGCCATCCTATCACTGTGGTGGCATGAGAGCTGTCCTCTATGCGGATCAAAACTGAGTCTGCTTTAGTTGCCCGAACAACAGATGTATTTACACCTATTTCAGTAGGTGATGGAAGTCCATTTATTATATCTGCTGGGGTTTTACCCGAACCACTAATTGTAAGATATGTTGGTTTTGTTTTCAGAGTCGGCTTCATTGGCAGTGATTTTACGATATCTGTCTTCGTCCTTGGCTTCTCTTTTTTGGGGATGTTTCCAAGCACATGAGCCTCATCTTTATTTTCTTGACTCTGACTTTTGTCTTTTCATCTCTGCTGTAATTTAGATTTTTAATTTTTCGACTTTATCATTAATTTGATTCCTCGTTGTATTATTCATTTTTTTATCAAAGTTCTAGAGGAATGGTTTTAGATTGCTTTGGATACTTCTTGTCTCATGCAAGAAGTCCCTTTTATTTCCTTCTTCGGTTTCCTCGTCGGTATCTGTCGATCTATGTCTTGGTCGTTTGGCGGATGACCGATAGTCCTGGTTTGTTTTTCTTTTGACAGACTCCTCTTCCATTTTGGCACTTTTATTATCCATCATAATAAAATACGACAATTATTCGAAATATAATAATATCTCCATAATCAAGTTAACCTCAATAAATGTTATTAATTCAATTAATTCAATAAATTATACAATCAACTTATATATAAGAATATACAGTTTTACCTGGATCCCGTTTCTAGAATTTCCTAATTGTGTGTTGTATTCTATACTACATACATACATATATGGTGCTACATACCGTCACCGAGACCGGGCCTCCTCCAAAAGCTTTCGCCAGTCGATAAGATCAATTGCAGCAGCTCTCCAGTTTCGGACTCCCAGTAGAGCCCGTGCGTCCGATGTCACTGAATCTTCCCATCTTACATTTGGCCTGCCAATCTTTCTTCGTTCATGCATCTTTCCGGACAGCATTTTCCTGGGTATCGCCAAATCATTCATTTTCATCATCATTCATCTTGCTACATTCCCGGCCCATCGAAGTCGTCCTATCTTGATAAACTTCACCAAGTCTATGTTCTTACAAAGGTAAGCGAGTCCAGCATTTTTCCTTCTTCTCCAAATTCTACCCTCTCTAACAGGACCAAAAATAATTCTCAAGATTGATCTCTCAAATATCAGAAGTCTATTTTCATCTTGCTGCTTAAAGGCCCATGATTCTGATCCATAAGTTAAAGCAGGGCGGACCAAGGTTTTGTATAGAGTGATCTTGGTCCTGTTAGGGAGGAACCTGCTTCCAAATGCTTCCAAAGACCAAAGTAGCAACGTCTTACCGTTGCTATCCTTCTGTTGACTTCTCTAGAGATGTCGTTTTCGGAGTTGACCTCAGACCCGAGATAAACAAAGCTGCATACCTTTTCGAAATTATATGTTCCAGCCACAAAAGAACTGGTCCCTGGCACATCTCCTCTGACTCTCATATACTTGGTCTTAGCTTCATTAATGTGTAGCCCAAGTTTCTTTGCTGCATCTTCTATGGATTTGGCCAAGAGCGACTCTCTTAATGCACGTTCCGATCTGGCGGCAATATCAAAGTCATCAGCGTACCCAAGAAGCTGAACGGTACTGTTAAGAAGGGTTGCGTGGAGTTCCGGATTCCGGACATACGCACTGCTTTCTCTGCGAAGTTGAAAAGAAGACAGGCTAGAGCATCTCCCTGTCTTAAACCGCAGTAAGTATGAAAGTCTTCCGAGAAGTCACTTCCTACTCGTACTGCACACTTCGACGAGCCTGATATCGTCATTTTCACGAGCCGAATCAGTTTAATTGGGATGTTCGTTTGCAACAGGGCCTGGTAGAGCTCCGGGCGAGTTACACTATCGTAGGCAGTTTTAAAACCAATGAAGAGGTGATGGGTAACTGTTCAATACTCTTTGCATTTCTACAGCATCAACCTCAGTGAGAACAGTTGGTCCAATGTGGACTTCCCTCGCCTAAATCCCGCTTAATATTTGCCTATCTCCCTCTCGGCATGAGAAACTAGTCTCTCAAATATTATGCTAGAAAGAACTTTATAAGCACATAAGAGGAGCACTATCCCTCGATAATTGTTACAATCCGATTGGTTTCCTTTCTTGTGTAGTGGGTAGATAATTCCTCTTTTCCACTATTCTATACTGTAGTCATTAAAAACTTCCTTGATTATTGATTAAAAACATGGTTACCTGAGCTACAAAGTTCTTCTTATCACAAAATCCAATTAAAAACAATAAATCATACTTGTAAACTAACGAAAACTATAAAAAATAACAACATAAAGGATAAACAACACAAATATAAACAAATAACTAATAATATAGCTCAATTATACTCCATATATAGCATAAACGCAAATTGACACCTTATCACTTCACGCTACAACCCTATATCCTGGCTTTACTTGTTAGACTTTTTTATTTTTTTATCTAAAATCTCCCATAGTCATCTAAAATTCGAAAATAGGAATGCATGTGACGTAACAACCATTATCTCCAATGGAAAACCCAGCCTGTGCTGGGATAGTGGGGACGAGAGGTTGAACAGTCTCAACATGATCCTCTTCTTGATAGCCGTTTTTGGATTGGCTGCGGGGCAGAACTTGCAGCTCGACGAAGGTGAGCAATATATTAATATATGAGTAAGGTTCGTTGATTCGTAATGTATTAAAAATACCTTATGATATACATAGCTAGGAATATTGAGCTCTAAGATAAGAGTTGTGATGTTTTATCTATACTAATTTAACAAAATAAATGTTTTTTTTTTTAATATAGTAATCAGAAGGGTCAAGTTGATAAAAGCGACGTTATTTTTTTTCTCGGAAAAATTGAGTTATTTCTATTTACAAAGATATAAAGTGATACATTAGCAAACATCTTATTATTTCCGTTACGATACACATCTGCCTTATATTGGATAAAGTTGGTTTAAATTTAATTTATTGATAGCTCAAAACATTTAACTGGACTTCTTCATCTTCAGCTTTCAATTCTTAAAAACCATTAATATACGATCAATAAATGACGGGGTGATGTCACTCTAACGCCTCAATATACCAATATTTTCCCCAGAGAAGAATTATTTCATAGCTGGCAATCCACGTGGAATCCGAGTAAATTAAAATAGTAAAAAAAAAAAAAAGTCTGCCAAGTAAGATGAGTATAGCTTCCTCACTATTTAATTCCTTATACAATTACTTATGTTTCATGGTTTATAATTTTTCATTTGAAAATCACATCATTCTAGAGAAGCCGTTCCCAAAAAATAGTAATCCCTCGATATTCCCAGGTTCCCTCGATACCCGCGAGTTTTGGCATACTGCTGATACAAAAATACGGTAGAGTTTTACAATCGCGAATTGTTACTATATATGTAATTTGATTAAATAAACATTTTGTGAGGTAAGAAAAAAAAAAAATCTCGATAAAAAAAAAAAACAAAAAAAAAAAAAACACGAACATAAACGATTACAACTACAGTAGGTATGTACATATCGAGCATATATATGATTGACCATATATGAAAAGCGGATATCTGTCACCTAATTTGGATTCGTTACTAGTTGATTCTTATTCATGCTTTAAACTTAATATTTCGTTTCAAAAACGAACACTAGCAGTGTAACATTGTTTCAAAAGGTGACATTTACCAAACTGCTAATATAATTGCCGGATTCTGATCACGTGATTCAATATTTAATAGTAGTTGCCTGTTATTTCCTAAAGACAAGCAACATCAAAAAACGTATTTATAAAATCGTAAAGAAAAGCTGATTTTCTAAATTTATGTTGAAAAACCTGGTGCGCGCAACACACAACTTTCACTTACCGCTCAAATTTGATTAGAAATTATTTTCTGGCCATGTTGGACTATTATAAGATTTTTTAATTGCATTTTTAACTGAGCTAAAGCTAAAAGATTGGAGCTAACAAATCATAAATACTATTAAAATAACAAAAGTCCAATTCATTACATCACCGGTTGATTGTGGATTGTACGATCCGTTGATTATGGATACTACGAATATTAGTTAATAAACTGTTATTTTCCATTGCTAAGTTTACTAAAACGGAATAGAGAGATTTGCATTGTCGCTATAGATAGGTCAAAAGTTGTCACACTGATTGTAAGTGGATTCAGTTGGAATATTGCAAAGAGTAAATTTATCAAATTATTCACTATTTAATTTTCTAAAAGGCTACATAATGATTTTTTGGAATAATAGTTTTTTTTTTTAACAATGTCATTTCCTTGATTAGATGGCCTTTAAATACTTTCTACAAACGTTAAAATATTGTTTAAAGTTTACATTTAGTTAGTAAATTTAATTTGATTTCCTTCAAAATATGTGATTTACGTTAAATAATGGTAGTTTTAAGAGATTATTATTTATAATTTTTTTACCATTCTCCGTTACCTTCTACAATATATATTCTTTCTAAATTAGATTTTTTTTTTCTTTTTTCTTTCCGCTTTTCCCAACGGTATATTATAAGTATACCTTCTGACTTTTATTTCCGGAGATTCATTTTCGGCCTGTATAAGCATTTTTATTTTTTTTTCTCCTTTATTCATTTATCAAATTCATTCAAAAGTTATAAAGTGGCACTTCCGGTTAGCCAAATTTAAGGAAAAAGTTGCCAGGACATCTGAGGTATATATCTATATTATATATGTAATATCTGTTTCGTTCGAATTTTCAGTTTCGAGCTAGAGTGTTCACAGACACACAGACCATTTTTCATTACTTGGTTATTTGGACTCAGAGAACTTCAAAACGTGTACTTCCGATGTAAACTCAGATTGAAAAGTGTTCACGATCGCAATACTTACATTTACTATATATTGCATATATAGGTAAGTGAAAGTAAAAATTAAAGATGTAAGAGTTACCTGTGAAAAATTTCTAAATGAAAGGTTGTCAATAAGAATATGAACAAACTAAGAATATATAGATCGAATATATACCTCCAGTTTCCCAGTTTACCTTCTTCTGAGTGTTTTACCTTTAGGTTCCCATATACGTCAATAGAGTATTCAGTTCAAAGCTTAGTTCACCATATTTGTCGAGGTCCGATTTCCTGTTTTAATTTCTTCGTTTACATTGCCGTCCAATCGATTAACTGTCGTTTCTTGAAGGTAGTTCGGTGGTGAATTTGATCAGGATTTCCACTGCTTGAAGAAATTTTTTTAGATTGATAGCAAGTCGGGCATGCCCAAGCTTTTTTGATAATTTTTGGATCTCTTTAATGTTGAATTTTTAACAACTTCCGTCTTAGAACCAATCACTTCATCTTGAATTTTGAGGAAATCTCAACTTACTATTAATGTTATAGATTTTTAAGAGGTGCTGAGAAAATATTTGATTTTTTTTTTGTCAGATTTGCACCTGGTTTAAGTTTCAGTAATGAGTGGATGGTTAAATTTTTTTAATTTCAGGAGTAAATCAGTCGAAATGAAATGGTCAACCATAATGATTTGTCGGTAGTTATAAGATTTTCTGTTAGGTAGAGTAAATTTTGAATTATTTATTTTCAATTTCAGCTTTTAGTTGATTAGTTTATTTGCGGTAAAAAGTCTTATCTGATGGGTATCTTGCCCTGTGCCACTTCGATCTTGCTCTGCGTTTTTCCTTTAATAAGATACGAACGTCCTGCGCTAAGTTAGTTTATTTGGAGTAGTTTAATTTATAAGTAGATATGTTATCGTTTATCGTGTCTCTAATATATATTGTAAGTATTTCTATGACAGTGTCAATTTTATGTTTCATCTTGAGTGCGATATTTAAGTCCAATTTGTTTTCCAAATTATAACGAAATTTGTCTAAGTTTACTCGTCCTGTAATGAAGTAGGAAAGGGGGAGGGCTTAAGAGCGAAGTTTGAGTGCAATGAAGGCAGAACTGGGCAATGATCTAAAGAAAGTCATCCGGGGATTTGATTGTGACCTGGGAAGAAGAAATCTGGGACAAAATCAAAATAAAATTGTACGGCTGCTCAACTGTCTTGAATTGCTAAATCACTCAGCATACTAATCGATACCAGTCAAAATTGATACCAACAACAAATAGAATAAAGTATTACGGGACCGTCATCCAACATACCGAAGGTTATAATTCATTCATTCACTGTTACAAGATTTTTCTTATTTTGTTCCATCTCACTTTTGTCCGCTGAGTTCACAACAAAGCACCCAGAATCAATACCGGTGGTGTTGTATAATTCCCAATTAGCCTAAAATAATGGATTCTGCCATACCCTGCAGATGGTTACTTTAAACACCCAGTTCTAATACCAAAAAATCAGCAGTTGATGTTGGAATCGCTCCTCTACTCCCGAATCATAATCCACAAGTGAATATTCTCTCTTACCAAATTCCTCTCTATATTTCTCTTTCAGGTACGGTATGCATTTTTATATATTCCTTCTTTTTTTTCTTTTTTTTGTGCTTTGAGATCCTGATCCTTATCGTTTATTTCAAATCTAATAATACGACCAACTATTAATGCCTCTTTTTCTTTCGCATTAAAGGCTAAGATATCTACGAATCTCGCTGAGCCTTCCGTATCAAGGCAATACACTTCTAGGAATCCGACATTTCTATGCTTTGCATTATTGTAAAAGACAAGAAACATGCCATTCGGACTTTTGCATTGTACATGAACAAATATATCCAGGATATCAGGGCGTTTTTTATGGATGTAGGCCCATTGGCCTATCTATTGATAGGATTCTTGAGAGAGAGGATGGATTAACTACCGAGTTTGAGACAGACGGTAGTATGTTTCCTTGGTTATTGGATGCAATAACCATTGTTGGGGTTTAGTATTGTAGTCTCCTTCATCAATTATGCGCGGATAAGGATAAAGATGCAAGTAGTTTATAGGAAATAGATTGGTCAGGAGGACAGTGCACAGGTGAAAGTGTTAGGTGGAAAGGACGAGATGAAATAATTAGGTTGTTTGCATAACCTCAGTTGAAGAAGGATTAAAATAACGGGATAAGGATTTATGGGTAAGGATGCAGGAACTGGCATGGGAAATGTTGAGTTTGTCTGATCTGTATGTGATGTAGTCACGTATGTAGAGATATGAAAGTTGAGTAAAGGGAGTTACTTTCAGTAGAGCAATATCAATATGATTGTCATGGGGAATAATATCAGATTCGTTTCGGTTCTTGTGTTGTCAGTTAGCATAAGGAGTGTCTGATAGAGGATGTACCCATCATGAATAACGAGGAACTGTACTGATTCATGAATGACGAGGAACTGTATTTGATGGAACTTGGAAAGAGGAGTTAATGTGAGCATTAGGATGGGAATGAACTGGTTAGATGGACATTGGATGCTCAGGAGGTAACGAGGAACTACATTGGTAATAACGAGGAACTGTACTGAACCATGAATGACGAGGAACTGTATTTGATGGAACTTGGGAAGAGGAGTTAATGTGAGCATTAGGATGGGAATGAACTGGCTAGATGGACATTGGATGCTCAGGAGGTAACGAGGAACTACATTGGTAATAACGAGGAACTGTACTGAACCATGAATGACGAGGAACTGTATTTGATGGAACTTGGGAAGAGGAGTTAATGTGAGCATTAGGATGGGAATGAA